GCCTCTTGATTAAAATATCTGATCTCTTGGTTGTGACATTTCAGTGTATGTTGAGCTAAGGAAGGGTTGGGAAGCATCTCTATGACTCTGCACATGGAAATGCCCTCTTGTTATTTGTTTCCAAGCGGGCAGTGAGTGAATGGCATTCAGGGGCTGACAGCACTTGCTACTCACAGAATATCTTGATGAATTGTCCGGAATTGCTAGAATTATTGGTCTAATATGTGTATTCCATGCTGGACTAGAAGTGAGTAAAGACAAAGATCATGTTCGTTTTTATTTACCTACATACACAGCAGCCCCCATCACAAGAGTGAGCTGAGGGCTTGCCTGATTTGATGGCAGTCTGCAACTATTGACTTGCATTTGATGTAAACCGGATCTGCAGGCAAGTCTCCCTTGTACACAAACACTAAAGTTCTCAATTTAATTATGTGAACTTGCATATTTGCATTGAACTTTCTTGGTTTGTTTATTTTTATTGTAGTTACATTGTTCTTTTTAATAATTCTCCTAATAGCTAATAACAAAGTCTATGTTTGATTTTTCAGTAATTAGTATGCTTTGGGAGATTTATATTGAAGTCCTATTTCTAACATGTTCATGCTAATAAAAAAAATCTTAGAAATAAAAGAAAACAGAGCTTTTATTGGTGTTATTAATTTCTAGAGGGCAAAGTAAGATTTTTACCCTTGCTTTGTTTAAGTCAGTTTATAGCTTTTTGGTACAAAGAAATTCAAAGTTCTGTAGAAATAATAAAAACCATGATACTTGGCATTTAGCTCCAGAAAGAAAACAGCAGAGGGAGCATAAGAATCTAAAACTAGTTTTCTAAATCCCTATGGATGAAGAAACGTTATGTTTTGGTCTCTGGGCATGACTATTAGGCCAATTCCATCATCAATCCATGTTTCTTACGCCTGTCTATACTGTAAGAGATTGATAAGGCAAAAGGCCATGACTCCAAACACGTATCTACCAAAGACTTATCTGTTTCTGAGTTTGGATCTGGACTAATAAAATCTTTTATAAATTGGGGTTTATATTAAGGTCTTTGTTCCTTACAAAAACTCCTTTCTCAAAACTGTGTTTGGCTCAGTTTGAAACCCTGAGCCTGGAATGGGCCTACCATAGAAGAGCTCAACAGTGCCTCTGAATCACCATGGACTGTCAATGTCCTCCTCACTGTACCTTTAAATGAATGAGCTGCACTGCAGCCAGATTAGTGCTGGCCAGATCCTACTCTCCACAAATGACAACCACAAGTTAAATACCTCATTGCTCCATTTGCCTTCATGTTAGTTACTGACCTTTTATGTTCTGTCTGCCTTGAAGACATTTCAAGATAAAAATGAAATGAAAATGCTTTCAACTCCTTGAGAAAGATAAGACTCGATGCCAAGGAAACATTTTATATTCAAACAGGCCTGCAAAACATGAGTCCCCTGAGCCACATCTGGCTGACAAGACAGTGGTTAGAAGCTTTACTTACCCATTTTGACCTGGAGATGACACCAAACTCAGAGGATTACTATCAGCCACCACATGGTCAATGACCGATTCCTATTGAGTCCAGATTATCATGTCTAACTCCCCTTCTGCCTAAATCAAATCTGGGAAACCAAGCCTGCTGAACAGTTTTCTTTCTCCTCCTCCTCTTTTTTTTTTTTTTTTTTTTTTTTTGTGGTGCTGGGAATGGAACCCAGAGCCCTACTGCTAGGCAAATCCTTCACCGCTGAGCTGTATTCCCCAGCTCCCGTTGTTCTGTTTGTCTGTTTGTGTGTGTGTTCCTCTGTTTTTTGCAACCTCCTATATTTACTTTGATTTCAGCCACTCCTGGCTTTCCCGGGATGGTTCTCACTGGCTTTCCAGTGGTACTCTAAAATAATGCCTGAACCAAGTTTTAAAATCTAATCAGGTTAATTTTTTTTTTTTTTGAGTCTCAAGAATCTGAAGTGACTCTCCCTTTCTTTCTGGCTCCCCCTCCACCACCTCTTCCCCATATCCACCTTCATATCCAGTGTTCCAGCCACAAGAGGGTGACCACCAGTGCCCACGCCCTTACAAATCTCCATGTGCCTTGAATTGTGCTGGTTTTCTGTCTGGACTGCTCTTCTCACTTCTTTTCCAAAAACTCAACATTTATTCATCCCCAAGGATCTCAGGTCAGGGAACATCTCTCCTAGGGACACCTTCCCTGACTGCCTCCCCCTCCTCCTTCCAAATAATTTTCCCATTCTGTGTTCTTGGAAGTGCTTGGTGCTTGATTCCCCTGCTTGGCCACCATGCACCATAATTACAGTTAGCTTGTGTTCTCACTGAGCTGTGAGGAATCGGGGACAATGACTATGCCTTTTATTTCTGTGACTGCAATAGTGGCTGATATGAATAAGGGAGAGAAAGCAYAGAGTATAAAGAGAAGAGGATCCAGGGCAAACCTGGGGATTCTGGGAATGAACAGACTGAGGCATAAAGCACAGAAAGGAAATTGGGAGAAGATAGTTCACAGAAGTGAAAGGATATTAGTGATGGCAAGAACAATGGCCATATCGTACAATGCTGCTGATAGGGCAAGTATGACAAGGTTTAAACATGTCCTAGCAGATCTCAGGTCACCTCCGGAAGAACTCCTCAAGTAGAGACAAAAACCAGATTGCAGGGGCTGGAAGGAAAATGGGAGGTGACGACTTTGAAGAAGTTAGGAAAATTATATTCTAAGAAACACTGTTGTTTGCTAAATCTGGATGAATCTTAATGCCATTATACTGAGTGAAATAAGCCAGTCACAAATGGACAAGTACTGTATGATTCTACTTACACCAGAGTCCTGGAGTAATTCATAGAAGGATGGTTGCTAGGGGTTGGGGGAAGGGCTCAGTATTTCAAGGGCACAGAGCTGCACCTTCACAAGATGAAAACTATTCTGATGGATGCTGGTGATGGTCGCACAACAATGTGCATATGCTCAATGCCACTAAATAGGAGGGTATTTAAAATGGTTAAAATGGCAAATTTTATGTTATATGTATTTAACTAATCTTTTTTTTAAGTACCATTGTTGTTAAGAGAATAAGATGGAAATTGCTACAATAGGTCATGAGACTGACAGGGTTTGGGTTTGTTTTCTTTGCAGGGAAACAAGATACTTAAGCATGTGAATACATTGAGAAGGCAAACTAGTCAGAAGGGAGACAAAGGGAATCCATTTTAGTGAGAAGATCCTGAAAAGAATTTGCCTGGGGCAAGAGAAAGGCATGCTCTTGCAAGTCTCCTCATCTCAGAGGAGGGAGAGATACAGGAAAAATTTGTCAGGAAGTGGGGGGGTACAGATAGGCAAGAAATACATTTTTTAAAAGAGCTTCTATCTGGAGTTGGGGTGTAGCTAGGATCACCAGAACTAAAAACTAACCAAACAATCTGATAGCTTTTGGTAAGATGGCTGGGGTAAAAAAATCTGCAGAAGGTTTTTAGGGAATTGGCAGCAGAAGTGTAAAGGAATTATTAGGCAACTTTGTGAGTCTAGTTGGGAAATCATGACCTTGCAATGCTAATGATGGTCTAAGTCTCATGGAAACATGATTTACTGCCCTAGCCGTTGGCTGCACAAGAATGTGGACAGTTAGTTTAAATCACAGGCTCCAATTCTACGAAGAACCCTCTCAATCATAGAACGGAGAATGCTAGGAAGCCCATGGCTGAAGGGGTGCACCATCAGGAAGGAAGGGATACAGGGGCTGAGACACTGAGGAAATGGAAGACTGGAATCAACAAATACAGTGAAGTAGATAAATTAGGGATGGAAAGATGAGGAGACTGAAGCAGGCAGTGAAGCAGAAGATTTCTTAAGTGAGACAGCTCTGGGTCCCTACCAGGCCCAGGCTTGGCCAGGGTACAGGAGGCTAGAAAGAGACCTCTAGGGCTGGGGGTATGATTCAGTGGTAAAGAACTTGCCTAGCATGCAAGGGCCCTGGGCTTGATCCCCAGTAACTACACACACATATCCAAAGAGGAAAGACTGGGGTCCTACCCACAGGGAATATTTCTATGACTTCTTCCATGTAAAAGCACAGACAAAAGATGATCTCTTATGAATCTTTTGCCTTGGATTCAATTTTCCCTTTATTGTTGGTTTGTTTGTTTTATCCTAGCATTCTATATTTTTCCTTTTATGAAATCCTTTATGATTGCAATTAGATATCCAATTACATATCCTCCATCCCTACTTCTGTTCTTATATGACATCCACGCTGAGTATTATCCCCGTTTTACACTACAGCTTGGGTTGATAGTCTGCAAAAAAGAAAAGCCTATTAAGGACCTTGAGAATAGACAGTGGCTCATTTCTCAGGGTTGACATTTTCTCAAGCCAATGTCACATGGTAAAAACATGAGTAAAACTTTTAGTCATCATCACCATCATCATTCAAGTCTTTCAAAGGTTAAGAGTGACTATTTCAGGTCACCTTGCTTAAATAATCCTGGAACAAACCAGTGACACAAAGGGGACCCTTGGGTTATACACAGAAAAGAACCTGAAAGGAAGGGACACTTGTCACTTTTTCTTAGGCCAGGTACCCACGATGGGTGTATCTTTCACTCGTGTTGGATGGGGGAATCTTTCCTGCACACCACCTTCTCACTCCCAGACTGAGGCATCTGTCCTCTCAGCCTTCTGTGGTTTGAGCAGTTGCCACGCAGTCTCAAAGAATGTCCCATGAACACATGCCAACACTGGTTTTCTTTAGTGCAATCTGATGAAGAACTAAATTACCAACATTTTCAAAAGAGATTGGTTCCTCTTTTGTTTGGATTATGGAGAAAACTTTTGACATTATCTCTTACTACACCATCCTGAAATCAATCAAGCATATCATATGCATCTTTCAGGAGCACAGGCTGTACTCTGCCATTTTCAAAACATATTTCCCGAACACTGTATTACAGAATAGGTGACAGCATAATGTGATGCCAGCTCCTGGTGATTCTGCTTTGAATCCTACCTGTGTGTCCTCTGAATGTTGTGACCAGGGTGCAGTTTTCTTGMTCCAGTTTGAGGATTGTTACTTGGCCTGAGTGGTCACCAATAAACACGTGCCGGGTTTCAACATCAAATCTATCATGTAAGCATTAAGGTTTGTTTCTCAAAATTGAAGCAGGGGTGGGATTTACAGTTGGGGGAAAAAAAAGCATAAATTTAACAAGAGATGTACAAATCCCACACTGGAGAACTTGAAGACAGTGCTGAAAGACACAAAAGTGAACTTAACAAATGAAGGACATACTATGTTACTGGACAGTAAGACTCAATATGACAAAGATGTCACTTCTTAGCATATTAATAAATTAACATACATTTAATATAATCTCAGTAAATATATCAACATGTTGTTGAGCTATGTTCATTCCATGGGTCCTGTGGAAACATACATAAGCAAGAGAAGCAAGGAATACTCTTGAGATGAAAATAATATGGGTGTGACGAGGTGAAGTCACCCCTACTAGATATTAAAACATGTTATAAAGTTTCTCTCTTAAGGGTAATTAGAATATACTTTAAGGATAACACTTCCTCACCCAATTTTAAATAAAAAGGATTTGCTTTTTTTTGTTACTGGGAGTTGAATCCAGGGACCCAGGGGTTCTCTGCCACTGAGCTACATCCCTTGCCCTTTTTATTTTGACACAAGGTCTTGCTAAATTGCCTAGGCTGGCCTTAAACTTGTGACCCCCCTGCCTCGGCTCTTGGGTTGCTGAGATTTCAGGCATGTGTCACAGGGCCTGGCAAGATCTTCATTTTTAATCTGAGGTTGCTGTGGCATTAGGACTTAATTGCTTGCTGTTCAACAAGTTTTGATGCCACCGAACTGCTAATTCCTTAGTGCTCTTCCAGCACACACTAGACATGTCCTCCTCTACTCAAAGTCCTGGTGGCCACTTAAGAGGCTTGACTTTGATCACCTACTTAACCACTTTCAGTTTTGCATTCACTGATGTGATACTCTTATGAACGTGAGGGGTATGTGCTTTTTCTAATCCAAACATCTTTATTACATTTTTCCCTAAAGTGGACACCTTTTTGTACTTTTGATTCTGTTAACAATATGCAGTTTGTGAGGGTGCTGTGTATCCTTAATTTTTTGATCTGTAGGTGAAGGCTGAAACACTTGATCTGAAATTCTTAATTTGGTAAATCTGTCATGAATCCAATCTGTACAAATGAAATTCCCCTGCTTTTGTTGCAGTCTGTAATTTCTCTGGGGCCTCTGAAATAGTGCAAAATCCCCACCACAAGTGTAGTAGTTGTTCTTTTTAGAGGCACTGCTTGCTAAACTAAAGTTCCTTTAGTTAAAAAGGTGCTATTGGGACATGAAGAGACAAGAGAACAGAGAGAAAGTCCAGAAATAGACATAGAAATCTAGTACATGTCTGGTAAAGGCAGCTCTTCAAATGAGTAAGGAAAAGATGGATTGAAATAAAATGATGTTGGCACAAACTACATATGTATTTGGGGGAAAAATGGGACTGTATTTCACATCACATACCAAGGTAAATTCCAAATCAATTAGGAACTTCTATGTAGGAAATGAAAATATTAAGTTCCCGAGAGTGGGTTTTTTGGGGTAGGAAAAGCTATACCTTAGAAACACAAACAAATAATATAAACAAAGACAAAAGATAAATTAGAAAAAAACATTTGTAACTTCTGCCACAAAGGGCCCAAATCCCTAATATAAAAGAGCAATCAAGGATAAAAAAAGACCAGAAATCTGACAGAAAAATAGGCAAAATCTGAATGGGACTCTGAATGGATAGTTCAAGAAGAAATAAAAATGGTGCTGCGTGAAAAGAATTAACCCAGCAGGCAGACTCTATCCTTTGCAAGCCAGCTTACAAAGCTGGCAGTGTCTGGGAACCTGGATTTGGGGCAAGTTCCCACCATTAACTGATAAGAATGGTTCAATGTGTCTTAACTATTCCAACAATATAGCTTATGCTGAATACCTGCTTTCCTTTTGTGCATCAGGAATTTTGGTATGTGCCAGGTGGGAGCTGTCTACATGACCAGCCCTCACTAAAAATTCTAGACACTGAGATTCTTACAAGCTTCTCTGTTGACAGTGCTTAGCAACTCATATATATATATATATGAAAAATCTCCCAATTTGAAAACAAAGCAAAATAAATGAAACTATCAAACTGGTGATATAACCACATAGTTGAGTGAATTATTTTATGCGACTTTAAAACACAACATTTTGAATGTACATACTTAGAATATACTCTGAGGATAAAAGAACATCTAAACCTCAAAGTATCATTCAGTAGTCTTATTGTCATTATAATGCTATCGGATAAAGCAAATAAGGAGTTATGTTGATGTTTTAAGAATAAAGATTTTCAGCCCAAGATCAAAGAAACAAGTTCAAAAATGAAGAAGTAAAAACCCTATCATGTGGGGCTAGGGTTGTGACTCAGTTGTAAAGCGCTCGCCTAGCATATGCGAGGCCCTGGGTTTGATCCTCACCACCACATTAAAAATAAATAAATWAATTAATTAATTAATTAAAGGTATTGTGTCTATCTACAACTAAAAAATAAATATATAAAAATATATTAAAAATCCTACCATGTTAAATTTGAAATTTTGAATAGAAATATAATAAGTTATTTTATTTTAAAAAGTAACACGTATGTATTATTTCATAGATATCTCTGAATATTATTCCTCATTAAATAATAGATAATTACATGACTGGTACAGAAAAACGACAAGATGAGCTTAAGACATGATGAGCCAGAAAGTTCTCAGACATATGTAAAATAGTTAATAAGGTTGATAAGGAAAATGACTGCTTTACACTTATTTTAATTATAAGAATGAAGAAGAAAACAAACTCAATTGACACTAAACAGTCTTTACAATCACAAGTGAATAGCATTATTCTGTAAATGTCATGAATCCAACAAAATCTATCTATAAAAGGTTAGAATAAAATGGTAGTACAGCCTCAAAGCTTAGAGTGACTGCCATCAACTATGATGTGAAGAAATTGAGATAATCTTAATAGCTTTTCAGAACTGTGTATCTGCCTATGAATAAATCTAAGAGATTACATTTGGTGGGAAGACATTTCACTTTACAGAGTAACCTTTTTTTTTTTTAGTTGTTGATAGGCCTTTATTTATTTACACGAGGTGCTGAGAATTGAACCCAGTGCTTCACACATGCCAGGCAAGTGTGCTACCACTGAGCCACAGCCCTAGCCCATATAGAGTGACATTTTGGAAATATCTCCAACATAAAGAAAATCCTAAAATGAAGAGTTCTTGAATTATTTTTTTGTGAAAACATTAAAAAATATGATCAAAACACCGTCAAAAACAAGATACCAACAGGTCTTCCTTCAGGTCTAGAATATACTTTAAAATGTTCTAGAAAACAGAGAAATATCCCATTGTGTATATATATGCCACATTTTTTTTTTTATCCATTCATCTACTGAAGGGCATCTAGGTTGGTTCCACAGTTTAGCTATTGTATATTGTGCTGCTGTTAACATTGATGTGGCTATGTCCCTGTAGTATGCTGTTTTTAAGTCCTTTGAGTATAAACTGAGGAGAGGCATAGCTGGGTCAAATGGTGGTTCCATTCTCAATTTTCCAAGAAATCTCCATACTGCTTTCCATATTGACTCCACCAATTTGCAGTCCCACCAGCAGTGTATGAGTGAGCCTTTCCCCCCACATCCTCACCAACACTTACTGTTGTTTGTCTTCATAATAGCTGCTATTCTGACTGAAGTGAGATGAAATCTTAGAGTGGTTTTGATTTGCATTTCTCTAATTGCTAGTGATAGTGAACATTTTTCATACATTTGTTGATTAAATATCATCTTCTGAGAAGTAATGTGGCATATATACACAATGGAATATTACTCAGCAAAATAAAAGAGAATAAAATCATGGCATTTGTAGGTAAATGGATGGAGTTAGAGAAGTTAATGCTAAGTGAACTTAGCCAATCCCAAAAAACCAAATGCTGAATGTTTTCTTTGATATAGGAAGGCTGATTCATAGTGGGATAGGGAGAGGGAGCATGGGAGGATAGGACAGAGGGGTTGGAGAGGGAAGGGRGGGGGCAAGGGGTTATAAATGATGGTGGAATGTGATGATCATTAGTATCCAAAGTACATGTTTGAAGACATGAATTGGTGTGAATATACTTTGTATACAACCAGAGATATGAAAAATTGTGCTCCATATGTGTAATAAGAATTATAATGCATTCCGCTGTCATATGTAAATAAAAAAGAAAACAGAGGCAGAAAGCAAAGAGGCAGAGAAGAATCAACAGTGGATGAGAGTGTCCATTATAATACTTTCTGAATATTACAGAAAGTATTTACAAATTTAAAGATTAGTAAGTGAAGTAGGGAAGGAATGCATTTGTTTCTATTTCTTGCCACTTCCTTGCTATTGGATCTTTGGGAAATATCCCCATTCTGCTATATCCAGTGTGCAAAAGACTAGCCCAAATATTATAATTCCCGAGTTCTAATCTTGGTTCTGCCAGTTAACAGTCGTTGCATTGGGCAAGCCACTTGTAACCTTCCTGAGTCTCAGTCTCACCCAGCCTAAGTTGCTACACTATAAAAACAGACGATAAGGTTATTTCATCTTTGCTGCACACTATTGTTTGATAGTAAATGAAGTAATGTATGTAAAATCACCTCATATATTCTCAGGGACTGCAATATATATATTTTCTTCCTTTTCCTCTTCTTTTCTCTTTTCTTCCTTATTATGATTGTTAATTGTGTTATTACTATTATAGATCACTTAATATTTGAAGCTTCACATATGTAGCCAAAGAACCAAAGTATCTAAGGTTATTCAGAAATTCATAATTCAATTTGAGAAACGGTTGGTCTGTTTGTCTTCCTCTACTCTCTACTTGAACTTTGATTGTTATTTTTAAAAATTTTTTTTAGTTGTAGATGAACACAATATCTTTATTTTGTTCATTTTTTTCTATGTGGTGCTGTGATCAAACCCAGTGCTTTATGCATGCTTGGCAAGCACTCTACCACTGAGCCACAACCTTGGCCTGAACTTTGACTATTTTTAAATGCATATTTGCTTCTCCAAACAAACAAAATTTTAAAAACTCTGTAAAATAGTGGGATGGCAGGAAAAAGGGAAGGAGGAGGGGTGAACCCTAGAACTATAGTAGCTTGCTCATTAACTACCCATCCACCTGCCAGCTGCAAGAAAAAAGCTCCAGCTTTAGAAAAGTCCCACAGTCCTTGGCTCAGACCTCTGGCAAAAACACAAAACTATCATGCCATCAGTGTTTAGCCTTAGAAAAATAGCCAGGAGCAAGGACTGGCAGTATGGCTCCAAAACTGGATCTGGCAAGGCATAGTTTGCAGGGGTCAGGGAACCTTCTGTAAGAGCCTATCTGTAGTACTGCAGCGCCCCTCTGCCTTCACAGTGAGGGTGGCTAGATGGTCACAGCCCAAGAACTGAAGCCCAGAGGCTTACCCCACCACCAGTAGCACCAGCACCACTATCACCACCTGACTATAATACACACACACACACACATACACACACACACACACATACACACACACAGGCACAGGCTTCTGATATCTGATAACATGATGTTCTGCACGGTAAGTCACACAGTATGGCCAAAAGAAAAAGTTACAAAATGATGACTTTTGAATCTGGTGGTGATAATCTTATACCATAGACTAACACCATCAGGGCAAGTTTAATTCTTGAATATTTGGTTTTTGTTTTTCATTTTCAGATGGTTTAAAAAATCACCATCTTGAAGATAAGACCTGCAGTGTTTCCCACACTCCATTGCTTGGGTAAGTGAAACAAAAGACATAGGGAAGAAGCATCATTAGGTTTGGCTAGTAACTTAGAAGCCAGCCTAAGGGCCCAGTAGTTCTGCTCTCTTTAGGCCAGTGCAGTACAATGGGATAAAAGCAGGAATCCAAGGCAGAAGACCTGGGATCTGGTAGTAAATCTCGAAGCTACTAGGTGGGTGGTCTCAAATAAGGCAAGGGACACTTTCTGGGTGTCAACTGGCTCATCTGAAAAATGAGGGAGTTAAAGACCTGTTTTTTTAAAAAAAATATTTAATTGACAAAAATTATATACATTCAAGGCATACTGTCATGATTCGGTAAATGTATATACAGTACAATGATTACCATAATCCAATTAATTAATACATGCATCACTATCCGTAGTTTTGTGCGTGAATGTGTATGTTCACAGGTGTGCATGGATTAAGTATGCCACCCTCAAGTTCACATGTGGAAACCCAATTCCCAATATGATGGTATTAGAAGGTAGAGCTTATGTGTTGAGTCATGAGGGTGAAGCTTCATGAACAGGATTAGTGTCCTTATAAAAGAGACTCCAGRTGGGGCTGGGGGTGTAGCTCCGCAGTGGAGCACTTGCCTGGCATGCGTGAGGCACTGGGTTTCATCCTCAGCATCAATATAAATAAATAAAGGAATCATGTTCATCTACAATGAGAGAGAGAGAGAGAGAGAGAGAGAGAGAGAGAGAGAGAGAGAGAGACTGACTGACTCTCTCCAGGGAGCTCCCTTGCCCCTTCTACTGTGTGAACTCAATGAGAAGATGTTCATCTATGAAGCAGGAAGCTGATCCTCCCTAGGCATGGAAACTGTTGGCAACTTGATCTTAGCCTCCAGAACTATGAAAAATAAACCTGTATTGTTTAGAGGCCACTTAATGAATTATGGTAATTCATTAAAGCAACCTGGACTAAGACAGAGAGGGTGGGCCCCAGCATTAGAACTATATTAGCACTAATCTATAGACATGCGAATTCATGTATTTCAACTGAAGCATCATACTTATCTGAACTTGCTTTAGGAAAGTCAAGTCTGGAGTTTCTTGTATTCACAGGTAGTATTAACTTCTCAAAGATAAGCTTATCTTGCTTTCCATTCCCTTGCCTTTGATCTTTTCAACTTGTCATTTTTATAACCTTCTACAATATTCTTTCTTAGCTTCTTTACTTGCCCTTCCAGTGAGAAAAATTAGATGACACTGGCTTATATACATACACTTAAATATACTTAGAGCTATATATCTGCAAAGAAACTGCAATGTACTTTGTCATGTTGTTGAGCATCAACAACTAGGTGTTTCATAAATATGGAGATAAAAATGAAAAAACAGGCCGTCCTACTTTTGTTGACAGGTGATCTGATTCCACTTACTTCCTCATTTGTCAGAAGACAGAGAGATTCTACATTTTTAAACTAAGAATCCCAGAATCCTCTACTCCTGGCCATGGGAGCATAATTCACTCATGCTTTGCGCTAGTTGATACTTTGCTTGCTGGAGCCCAGAAGTGGGGATTATCCAGCATTAGCGGGGTTCATACTGAGAATATAGACTCTAGCAGCTTGGGAGATAAGAATATTATTCCACATATCTTGGAGTAGCATTAACAGGTAGATACCAGCTAAACCACTCTAGTCCCAGCATGGTAGCTTCTCAATAAATATTTTAAAAATTAATAGAAATCCTGTGGCTCTTTTCCCAAGCACTAAGGAATTGCTTACAACATTCACATTTATATATAAATTACTCATAGACAAAAATCAAAGTCTGTATTTTGGTGATTGTTTATTCTCCATGGACCATAATTTTTCTGATAGCTGAGGCTTATAGATGTGGGTGTGTTGTAGTTGACCCAATGAAGTTACCTCAGTCCACTCCACCTGGGGACCCCCTGATGATTAGTGTCTTAGGAAAGTCTCTGAGCATCTTATTCACATGGGGACAACTCAACAAATAATGCACCAAAACTTTTCAAACTGTACATATTTCAAATTTTCAAGAATCAAAGAGGTCAACAGCTAAGTTCCCACCGAGGGATTCTGTCCAGCAAAGGATACTGCAGGCCTGAGGCCACAGCACTGGTGCGATAACCTCCAAGGCGCTCCCCACTCTCAGAGCAGTGCCAGGCAAACTGCTTGTCTTGTCCCGTGCTCAGCACCCACTCCAGCTCCAGGACAAACAGGACCATCGTCACTCTGCTCTGATGCGCTGAAAACCAAGAGACAAGAAGACAACCTATAAAGCAACCCAAAGAGTTTGGAACAGCATGATCCACAGAGTTGTATTGTTCTCCTCTCCCCATTCTGGAAAAAGCTGACGGTATAAGCTGTTTGTAGGGACAGGGTATAACAGTGGCTCCGGTCAGAGGTAGGAATGTGCCTCTAAAGACAGGCATGCCTGAATTTTTATGACTTTTTAAAAATGATCCTTCTCTTCCCAATGCTCCCCTTCTATCCCTCTTGTGCCAATCCAAGAATTACTGACTCAGAAAGTTCTTTACCCAAGGGTCTAGACCATCACCTTCAACACAGTAGGGCTGCTGGACTAGAGAGTGTCAGATCCAATATGACCACAAAACACATCAGGGATGACTTCTGAATGCAGTCACTGTAGTCAGTTTACATGCACTTCCAAAAACAGTAAAGACTCAACAAAATTCTAGATAAACAGCTTTCTCTTGGAAATCAAATGCTTAGAAAGGAGGGCAGAATTATAAGAAGAGAATAAAATATTCTTTACACCAAAGTATACATTTCCCTATTTCACACATGGGCAAAGTGAGGAACAATAAAGCGGAGTCATTAGGCTGAGGTCTCCTGGCTTCTCAGTTACCAAAACAGATGGGAGGATTTTTGCTTTCTTATACAATTCCAGGGAGTGAGGTGGAGGGGACTGCAGTCACTGCAGAGCTGACTGGAATGAACACCACCTGTCTGGCAGTCTAGTGTGGCAGGAGCATGCTAGTGAGTGAAGACATAAGTTTCCCATTTTGATTACCACACAGTTAGTCCGGAGAGATAAAGGCAACTCTGCTGGCAATAACACCATCTGCCAATTTCTGAGCACCTAACAGGTGCCAGGTATTTAAATGCATTCTGTCTCTTAATCATTACAATTACCCTGCAAAGTGGGTGCTCTGATTTTACAACAAATCAGAAGTTCACAAGATGGCCCTTTTAGATTGGCTACCATACAATACAGTCAGAACCACAGGGAACACCCATGGATACTCATTTCAACAAATGCCTGATACTGTGAAACCTGACATTTGAGACATCTTAGAGGATATGGAAGCACTAATACTGTGACCTCTCTACAATACATCCCTCCTTTTCAGAGTCCCAACCACTATTAAGATCAAAATGCTGCCTTTGGGCTGGGGTTGTGGCTCAAAAGTAGACTGCTCACCTAGAATGTGTGAGGCATGCTAAGTTAGATCCTTAGCACCACATAAAAATAAAATAAAGATATTGTGTCCACTTATAACTAAAAAATAAATATTAAAAAAGATATGGAATATCCCCAATTCTCCTTTCCCCATCCTTAATCAAATACTAATAATCTATTTTCTGTCTCTATGGATCTTACTATTCTTGACATTTCATATAAATGTATTCATACTATATGTGGCCTTTTGTGTCTGGCTTCTTAGCATTCATTMATTCATTCATGTTATAGAATATATGCTTCCAGTTCTCTCAGGTATATAACTAGGAATAGAAATGCTGTATCATAAGGCAGCTTTAACTCATTAAGGAACTGAAAAATTATTTTTTAAAGTGGCTATACCATTTTACATTCCCATCAGCAATGTGTGAGGGTTCCAATTTCTCCACATTCTTGTCAATTCTGGTTTACTCGGCTGGGGATATGGCTCAATGGTAGAATGCTTGTCTTGCATGTGCAAGGCCCTGAGTCTAATACGCAGCGCGCGCGCGCACACACACACACACACACACACACACACACACACACAAGCAAATAAACAAATGTGAACCTCCAAACCCCCAAAACATACAAAAAATCTACACTGATTTATTTCTCAATATTTACTAAAAAACTCAACTGTTTTAGGTACTACACTACATCTGCACTACATAATTTACATATGCAGTCTTTGAAAATATTTTTATTGTGGTAAAATATACATAACATAAATTTACCATTTTAACCATTTTTAAGTATATAGTTCTGTAGTATTCACTACAGTCACACTGTTGTATAACAATCACCACTTTTGGAGCTCCAGAACTTTCACATCTTCCCAAACACAAATTCTGAACTTGTTAAACACTAACTCCCAATTTCCCCTTTCCTGCAATTGTTGGCAGCCACCATTCTGTTTTCTGTCTCTAGTAATGGGACTGCAGTAAGTACCTCACAGAGGTGGAATCCTTCACTACTTGGCCTTTTGAGACTAGCTATGTCATTGAGCATACTGTCTTTAAGGTCCATCCAGACTGTAGTATGTGCCTGCATTTCCTTCCTTTTTAAGGTTGAATAATTCCATTGTATGAATATACCACATTTTGTTATCGATTCATCTCTCAGTGGACTTTCAGGTTGCTTCCACGTTATGGCTATTTTGAATAATGCTGCTGTGAACAAGTGCATACAAATATCTGTTGGAACCTCTGCTTTCACTTATTTGGGGAATATACCACTTAATAATTTTTGAGTATTAATCCGACACTACATTCCTGGGATAAATCTCACTTGATCATAATGATGAATTTGCTGAAATTTTGATAATATATTTTACATCTATTTTCATGGGGAATGATGGCCTATAGTTTTCTTGTGTTGTTTCTGTATAATTTTAGTGTTAGGAAATACTAATTTCATAGGATGGGTTGTGTTATGTTTTAGATCCCCACTACCTCAAAAAAAACCAAACATTTTGGGGCAGGAGTTGTGGCTAAGTGGTAGAGCGCTCACCAGGCATGCGTGAGGCATTGAGTTTGATCCTCAGCACCACATAAAGTAAAATAAAGACATTGTGTTCACCTATAACTAAAAAAAATATATTAAAAAAAGATTATGTTTTGAAAGCATGGACCCTGACCCAGCAAAGTTCAAAGGTGGGGCTTTTAGGCAATGATTATAGCTCTGACTCTTCATTGGATTAATCCATTGACAGGTGAATTGACTCCTGGGAGATAGTAGGTAGTAGTACTTTGGAGGAGGTGGGTCACTGGGGGTTGCCCTGAGAGGGTTTATCTAGTCACAGCCCTGCTTCCTGGCTGCCATGGGCTGAGCAGCTTTCCTCGGCCACATCCTTCTGCCMCGTTTGTGCCTCACTTCAGGCCCAGAGCAATGGAAGTCAGGCGACCACAAATGGAACCTATGAAACCACAAGCCCCAAATTAACCATTCCTCCTCAAACTTGTTCCTGTCAGGTATTTTGGTGACAATGACAAATAGCTGAATGATACAGGTTGGAAAGTCTTTAATTTCTTCAATTTTCAAAAGAGTTTGTGTATACATGATATTATTTCTTCCTGGAATGTTTCAAAAATCCACCAGTGAAGCTATCTGGCGCAAAAGCTCTCTTTGTAGGGATATTTTGATTATAAATTATTTAATTTTAATAGACATAGAGCTTTTAGGATTATTTATTTCTTCTTGAATGTCTTTTTGCAGTTTGTGCTTTCAAAGACTCGTTCATTTCATTTGTCATATTTATCAGCACAAAACCATTAATAACATTTCTTATTTTCCTTTAAACATACTCAGTCTCTATAGTAATGTCACTTAGATTATTTCCAGTACTAGATTAAATTCCAGATAATTTAATAAGTGTGGTTAGAGATTTATCACATTTATTAATCTTATAAAAATTAGCTTTCAGTTTCATTAACTTTTCTGTGTTTTCTATTTATGAACTTCTGTTATTATCTTTTCATTCTTGTGTTTAGATTGTTTCTCTCACTCTTCTTTTGTCCTTTTTTTCTTTTGTTCTTTTTCCCTTTTTTAAGGTGAAAACCAAAGTCATTGATTTAGAACTTTCTTYTTTCCTAATACAGGTGCTTAATGCTGTAAATTTACCTGTAAGTTCTGCTTTAAGAGCATCACATAAATTCTGGTATGTTTGCTTTCATTTTTATCCAGTTCAAGATACTAATTCCTGTTTTGTTTTATTCATTGATCCATCAACAATGTTATTTAGTGTCTACATATTTGGGAATTTTCCAGAGATCTTTCTGATATTGACTCCTTCTTTAATTTCACTCTGATCAAAGAACATACCTTATATATATATGACTTAAATCCACCAAAATTTATTGAACCTTTTTTAATGACATCAAATTTATCTGTCTTGGTAAACGCTATGTGTACATTTAAAAATAACACATATTCTGCTTTAGTTGGATGGAATTTCTGCAATTGTCGATTAGACCAAGATCATTGGCTTTGTTGTTCAAGTCTTCTATACTTTGATTTTCTGCTTATCTGTCATACCAAATATTTATATACTCAACAAATTATTGAGAGGACTATTAAAAATTTCAGACTATAATTGTGGAAGTATTCAATTCTCCCTAAAGTTTCATCAGGTGTTGCTTCACATAAAGATATTATAGGATACATAAATACTTGAGACTGTTATGACATTGTGATGGATTGGCAGACTGGCCTTTATCATTATGAAACAATATCCTTTATCCCTGGTAATATTCTTTGCCCTGAAATACACTTTGATATTAACAGAGCTATTCTTGCTGCACTGGCTTTTCATCACTGTGGCAAACACCTGAGAAAAATCACTTGGAAGAAGAAAAGTTTATTTTGGTTCATGGTTTCAGGGGCTTAAATCCATCTCCACTAGCTCCAAGGCAGAAACATCATGGTGGAAAGGTATAGTGGAGGGAAGTTGCTCAGCATGGCAGTCAGGAAGGAGTGGAGGGAGGGGGGAGGGAGGGGGGAGAAAGAAAGAGAGAAAGGGAGAGAGAGAGTGCATGCAAGAAAGTGTGCATTCCAGAGAGAGAGAGAGAGAGAGAGAGAGAGAGAGAGAGAGAGAGCAAGCACATGCTCACAAGGGAGAAGTCAGGGACAAGATATAGTCCCTGGCTTAAGGGCATGCCCCCAGGGACCCACTTCTGCCAACCGTGCCCCACCTGCCTATATTTTCCACAACCTCCCAGTAATCCACTCAGCTATCAATGAATTAATCTACTGATGAGGTCAGATCCTTCATGATACAATTACTTCTCCAAATTTCCAGCCCTGGACATTGTTGCACTGGGGACCAAGCTTTCAATACATGAAACTTTGGGGGACATTTTAGAACAAACAATAACATTCCACTCCTGACCCCTAAAAGCTCATGCCCACCTCACAGTGCAAAATATAGTCCATCTCCAAGAGTGCCATAATCTTAACGTTTAGCATTGCTCAAAAGTCTAAGTCCAAAGTCTCCTCTGAGACACAATGCTATAGGATCACAGGCAAGTCACCCAAACTTGTTGGGCCTCAGCACTTAATTCACAAACTGTGATATTTACCTCCAAGGTTGCTCTGCTTTGTTCCTTTGACCATGACAAGAAAGTCTTTTCTAGTGGCAGTGAAAATCACCAAGTAATATATTAAAGTCTGGGCAATAAAACACTAACTCCCTACCTTGATAGTTTTTCACAGGAGTCATCTTGTTATAATCTTCTGACAAAATAAACTCCTGCAAAAGAAAAGAAAAAGATTAATCAAAAGGAAATTCTTTAAGTGAATAACTATGTTTTGGCAAAATCAGATTGCAGAAAGTCCATATCATCTCAGAATTATACCTAACATTATTTTGCCAATTGCCTCAGCATTTTTGTTTCTAAAAGCAACCATAATTATGATCCAATGCAAGCATCATAATTTTTATCTTACAACTCTTAAGTTGACTATTTTTGTGCATACACGAGAAGAAAACTGAATCAAGTTCAGAGTCTTGATGTTGGTCAATTTTAAAGATTAAACTGGATTCAAAATCCTTTCCTCTCAATGGTGCCACAGTTGAAAAGTTGCAAGGCTCTGGTCAGTGAGCAAATAGATGGCAATTTTCTACTAGAGAAATAAAGTAGATATTTCTAATGTTAGCAATTTATTTCCCCTTACTATAAACTTCTTGAAACTGCATCTTACTCATTCCTTGTAACTCTGGGGTGCATGACATAGTACCTTGGCATAGTAAGTAACAGATCAATATTAGTCAGCCTCCCAATCCAATGAGATTAGTTTGGATAGCAAATATACTGAGGGGATAAACAGTTCCATATAGCACATTGTATACACCCTTTGTAGGGACACATAAAGGTGACTGTGTGGGGTTTCACCCAAGCATCTATGTAGACAGTGATGCACATGTGGAAGTCAACCAAATATTCAGGAGGTCCAGCCCTGTTTTGACTCCTTTAGCTTCTTCCACATGCAAAATATTCACTTAATCTTAAAAAGAAAAAGAAAGTTGTCAAACACAAGGAAAGTTGCAAAGTGTAATAAAGCAATGCCTTCATCCGAGCTTAAAAACAGAACAATAAATCTTTTCACAACATTTGGAAGCATCCAGAATTTTTCTCTGATGATTTTTTAAAAAGAAAGGTGGGAGGACAGATACATAAACTCCTTTATTGCTATCTGGTATTTACTGRGTTCATACAGATTATGTAACTTTTTAGAAAAAAAATATTTTATTGTTACAGTGATAAATGTCACAAAGATAAAGCAGGAGGTGATGTGAGAGAATATACCAGGCAACCACGCTTCTTTCTTTCTCCACTTTTCCATCCCAGCCCCCTTACAAAGCCTGTCTACAAATGGATTTCCTTCACAATGATTTTCTCAGTAATAACATTATTCAACCTGTCACTTTTTAAATTCATATCATTATTCCTTCAAGGAGTAGCACCATATCCATTTCTCATTTCTGAAGAGTTTAGACTCACAACTGAGCAGAGCAGACTAAGTTTTAAAGAACTAAAGTAGTATGCTCATAAGGAGCTGATTGACACTGTGGGTAGAGAAGGTTGCACAGGCCCAAGAAGCAGCTCATTACCAAACCTTTCATTCCACGGAACGGGTTACAGCACTGAGCACCACATGTCAGAGGGCCCACATATCTACATATACACACACAAACTCACTTCCACATGTGCATCACTGTCTACACAGATGTTTGGGTGAAACCCCACACACTACAAAGGATAGATATAGTGTGCTATATAGAACTGTCCCCCCCCCCCAGTATATTTGCTATCCAAAGATACTACTATTTGGACAAATGTTTACTGAGTTCATATAGTTCATGTTATTTTAAATATACTGAAATGGTTCTCTGGCTGGGCAAAGATACCTCAATTCCTCTTGGAACAAGGCAAAATACAAAATAAAAGAACTCAATGCAGGTTTGCACATTAGAATTTAAAAATATACATACAAAATTAAATATTACCAGTTCATGACACTGGTGAACACAATTTTTTGTTCATTTGCTTTTGCTATGATAATACAAATACATAATCATGAATAAAATTTGGGAGATTTTGTCACTTTCCATTATTATTTTTGACCACAGAAACCATACGCTCTTCTAAAAAATTTACAAGGATAATCATTTAAAGGTCCCTTGTGGTACCATTTGTTTAGATAAGATAGTATGAAAAGTATTATTGTAATRATACCTATAATAAAACAAAATGTTAAACTACTTGGACATACTTTTTACCTTTAACAAATCATGTGTATTACTAATAGACTACATATTCATAAACTTCATTCTTTTTAATGAATGCACAGAAAATACTGTAATGTTCTTTCCCTGAGAAATATATTTATATTGTTTCCTATTTTTCTCATTTAAATGTATTTTGTTTTTTATGTAAATTGAATAGTAGTCCTATAAAAGTTCTATAAGTAACATGATTTTGGATCAGAGTATGACCGTTAAAATTTTGATAGACATTGCTAAATTTGAGTTTTAAAAAGATTGTATCTAATAACATTCAAACGATATAATATAAAAGCCTGACTATAAACTAGTTACTTCCTTAGGATTGACCAATCAAAGAAAAATTAGATCAAAGATTCACACACTTTAAATTATTTTGGATAAAAATAATTTCTATTCTTCTTTCTTTTATTCTATTTTTCCTCCTTACTATCCAACTGTTTACCAATCTATCACTCAATTAATTTTAATGTTCATTTTAATATATCAGACAATATAGGATATACAAAGGAAAAGTAAATAACTGTCTCTACCTTCAACCTCACTCCTTTTGAGGGAACCAGTGTTAACAATCTGGTGTTATCTTTCCACACCATTTTTTAAACACTTATTAGACATATTATGAACATACACATGTAGATAGGGTTTTGTTTTGTTGTATAAAACTAGGATCACATTATAGATGGTACCTTTAACTTGCTGTTTTCACTTAAAATATGTCATAGCTACCTTTCTAGAAATCACATGGTTCTAACTTATTCTTTCTGATGGTTCTATAATACTTCACAGAATGGATATGCCATACTTTATTCAAGTCCTTGCTCCTTTAAATGGACATTCCACTCATCTACCATTTTTTAATGGAAAGGTTTCTGCACATATACCCACATGAATTAATGCAGATGTGGGAAAGATTGCTGGCTCAAGGTTATGTACATTTAGTGTTTTATTAAACATGCTGGATCATTCTCTAGGAAGTGCTGTAGTCATTTACCCCTGCCCATTTTGTAAGACAGCATATTTTCCCACATCTCACTAGTACTGGATGTTACTCATCTTTTCAATTTTTGCCAAACTGATGCACATATTCACACAAAAGGAACCTCGTTGTGGTTTAATGGGTATTAATTACTCCATTTATAAACTGGGACTTTTTTTGTAATGTTCATCTGCCACTTTAATTTCTTGTTCTATGAAATCTCTGTTCAAATCTTGTTTTATTTTGTTCCCTCAGGCAAAGCTTAAGTCTAATGCTTTGTTTGGAGATGCAATATCAGCAGTGTAAGTGAGGGAACAGCAAAGCAAAGCAGAAAAAGATGAACAGTGTATCACTCCCAAGTTGGCTGTTCTTGAGCTCACAGAAGGTTTCTAGATAGACAGAATTGAAACGGTAGGTCTAGAAAGAATTCACTAAGGGATGAAGGGATGGAGAAGAAATTTATCTGCCAGCCCTCCCACTTTGAATTTTGATCATAGCTCAGGGGACATTAGCTTCCCCCTCCTTCTAGAAAGTTGTACTACCTAGTCCGTTTGCAGCCACTGGGGAAGTCAGATCTTCAGCCTAGGAGTGCTGTGCTCTGAAAGTGCACATTTCTGTGCACCTAGAAAGTGGCAGAGGAACCAGATATTCTAGGCTTTGGGCTCAGGGTGAAACAAAGAACCCAGAGGGTCTAGGAAACAAGTCGAGAAAATCGGAAGCAGGGGATATGGTGTGGCCTAGGCATTTCCTTTCCCCTTTTGTCTCCTGTCTTTGATTATTAGGGATAGTAATCCTTTGCATAATACATACATTGACAATATTCTCTCTCCTGATATTCTGCGTTTTGATATTACTTAATAAATATTCTGCAGTACTAAAAATTTTCAATTAATAATTGTAGCATTCTGAGTTGAAATTGTACTAGATGTTTGAATTTTTAATTTTGGAAAAAACTGTTTCAGTTGTAATGTGCTTACCATCAGGAATATACTCAGATTGTTAAACACAATCTTTCTTTACTAGTTTCAAAGAAATTTTTTTTCCCATTTCAACTTCATATATACTAAAAATAGCTTTTGGAATAACACATATTTTAGTATGTTATCATAATATTTAATATGGCATTGATTGTTGATGTCAGAAAAACAACCTTGGCCAAGTTTAGGTACACATCTCTAGTTTTATCCAGAGTTTTCATTAATAGTAGCTGGTGAATTTAATTAAATGTGTTTTTGTATCTATTATACAAACTTTAAAACATCCTTCAATTTATAGAATTAATTATTCTAATAAATTGCCTAACACTGACTCATTCCTGAATTCCTGAAGGTATCCCAACTTGCCATGGTGTAAACTTTTCTATTACTGTATTGCTGCAGTTCATGTGCTAATATTTTAAAAGAATTTTCACACACACTTGTCCATAATATTATTGGTCTGCAGTTTTCCATTCTGGTGCTTTTTTGGGTTTTGGTTTAAAGTTAAGAAAAGCAGAACAGGGGTTAAGAGTTTGGACAATTAGAGACAAACTGTCTGATTTAAACCCCAGCTAAAACATGCTATTAATATGATTTTAGACAAGCTGTCTGAATCTCTGTTTCATTTTCTTCCTCTATTGTGAAGACTGAGGTAATGTTTATAAAGCATATAAAGCAGCATCTGGCACACAGTAAGTACATATTCTACGAAGAGTAGAGCAAAATAAATATTATCTTTTGTACAATAAATTTAAGAAGCTGTCCCTATTTTAAAAATTCTCTGAAATAAAAGAGAATTGGAGAGAATTCAGCTCTTTAATCTTTCCCCCTTAAGTCAGCTTTTTTGCTGCTGTGACCAAAAGACCTGACAAGAACAATTTTTAGGACTCACGATTTCAGAGGTCTCAGCCCATAGACAGCTGGCTCCATTGCTCTGGGCCCTAGGTGAGGCAGAACATTATGGCAGAAGGATGTGGTGGAGGAAAGTAGCTCAGGACCTGGCACCATGA